TCTGTTTACATTGTTGATCTCTTCTTGGTTTAACTTTGGTGGTTATATTGAATTTAGAAATTCTTCCATTTCTTTTAGATTTTCTAATTTAATAGAGTATAGGTTTTTACAGTATTCTGTATAATGTTCTGGATCTCTTTGGTGTCTATTGTGATGTTTTCCCTTTTGTCTCTGATTTTAGTGATTTGGATTTGCTCTTTCTTTGGGTTATCTAGGATAGGGGTCCTAAGAGGGACATTAAAGATCTCTAAATGACTTAATGGTACAAATCAAGAATCTGGAAAAACAAGAACAAATCAAACTCAAACAATACAAAGCTCTTAGATTCATTGATTCTTTATATTAATTTCTTTGTTTCTATTTCATCGATTTCTGATCTGATTTTTAATTTCTTCTTTTCTGCTGGCTTTGAGTTCTTGTTTTTTGTTCTTTTTGTTCTTTTTGTTCTTGTTTTTCCAGATTCTTGAGTTTACCATTAAGTCATTTATTTGTGCTCTTCTGATTTTTTAAATGTAGGCTCTTACAGTTATAAATTTCCCTCTTAGGACTGCTTTTAATGTGTCCCAGAGGTTTTGTTATGTTGTGTTTTCATTGTCATTTAGTTATAAAAATATTTCTATTTCTTTCTTGATTTCTTCTTTGATCCATTCATCATGTAGGTGTGTATTGAGGTCTTTTGGTTTTATTTTTTTGTCTTTTTGAGACAGGGTCTCCCTGTAGCCTCAGCTGCCCTGGAACTTGCTATGTAGACCAGGCTGGCTTCAGACTCACCAGATCCACCAGCCTCTGCCTCCCAAGTGCTGTGATTAAAGTCGTGCATCACCCTCCCCCAGCTAGGAGTCTGTTGTTTAATTTCCATGAGTTCATGTAGTTACTAGTTTCTTTTGATGTTTATTTTAAGCTTTGTTGCATAGTGCTCCAATACAATACATGGAATTATTACAATTTTTTTTTTTTTGTATTTGTTGCAGCTTGTTTTATGCCTCAGTATGCAATCTATTCTAGAGAAACGTCTATGGTGGTGTGTGGGTGGAATATTCTGTAGATGCCTATTAGGTCCATTTGATGTATGATGTCATTTAATTCAGATGTTTCTCTGTAAAGACTCTTTGTTCATATTACCTTTCTACTGGAGAAAGTAGGGTATTGAAGTTACCTACTATTACTGAATTGGGGTTAATGTGTGTCTTAAAGTCCAGTAATACTCTTTTCATGAAGTTTGATTTGCACCAGAGTTTGGTGCATATATGTTCATGATTGTAATGGCTTCTTGGTTGATTAGTCCCTTGATCAGAATAAAGTGACCTTCTTTATCTCTTCTGATTAATTTTAGCTTGAAATCTATTTTGTCAGATATTAGAATAGCAAAACCTGCTTGTTTCTTAGTGTCATTTGCTTGGAATATTTTTTTCCATCCTTTCACCCTAAGGTGGTGTCTATCCTTGAAGGTAAGATGATTTTCTTGTAGATAATAAAAAGAGGGATTTGTTTCTTCATCCATTCAACCAGCTTATGTCTTTTGACTGGGGAGTTGAGGCCATTGATATTTAAAGTTATTGTTGAAAGATGTGTGTTGCTTACTGTCATTTTATTTTCTGTTTGTGTTCTTGGCCCTATTTGTGTTTCTGTAATTATACTGTCATTTGTTTTCTTTCTGTAACTTCTTCAGTATGGTCATTTCTTTCTTCAGTCTTTTGTATTGCTTTGAGTATTCTGTGTAGCATTGGTTTGGTAGCCTATTTGTATCATGGAAGATTTTTCTTTCTCCTTCAACTATGATAGACAGTTTTTCTGGGTAAAGTATTCTGGGTTGGCATTTATGGCCATTTAGAACTTGGAATGCATTGGCTCCAGGCTCCTGAATTTTACAGTTTGCATTGAAATATCAGCTGTAATTCTGACAGGCTTTCCTTTATATGTAACTTGTTCTTTTTCTTTTGTAGGTTTTAATACCCTCTCTTTATTCTGTACATTTAGTGCTTTTACTATGATATACTATGGGGAGTTTCTATTTTGGTCTTCATTATTTGGTGTTCTGTGTGCTTCTTGTATTTGTTTGGGAATCTTTCCTCAGGGAAGATCTCTTCTATAATCCTGCTGAAGATAGCTGGTGAATCCCATTGACCTGAGGTTTTTCTCCTTCCTGAGATTTTTCTTCTTCTCCTTCATCTGCTGCCTGTGATATATAGATTTGGTCTTTTCATGGTATCCCATAGCTCCTGCATATTCCATTCCTGTGGGTTTTTGTTTGTTTTGTTTTGTTTTTGTTTTTGTTTTTTATTTTTGTTTTTGTTTTCTTTGCTTGAGCAATCCAGTTCTCCAACTTTATCTTCTGGTCTGATATCTGTTTCCCACTTGATTCATTCATTTCAAATTGGCTTGCTGAGTTTTTCATTCCATTTTTATTTCAGCTTGAGTTTTCTTCAACATTTCTGTTCCTTTCTTCAATTCACTTTTTAACATCCAAATTGTCTTTGTCATTCCATTCAGCAGCATATTTGTATTTTCTTGAGCTTCAGTCAGGAGTTTATCCCTATCTTCTTAAGGTTCAGACAGCCCTACCCCCTCACCAACAGGATCCCAAGGACTTCTCATGCTCCTGAGAAAAGGGAACCTAGTTGATAAGCACCTTGGTCTTTGAAGTCAAGAGAAGCAGACTTTTCTCCACTGTTTGGCCAAAACAGCAGACTTCCCCTTTGATCTCTAAAGAGGGCAGGTTTTAACAGTCCTGCTCTCCCACCCCCCCAACTTAAAAAAAAATACATCTTCCCGCCTTCTGCAGGATGAAGAAGCCTCCCTTTTAAAAAGACCCAAGCTCAAGACCCAGGCAGACATTTTCCCTGCCCAGAAGGGACTCTGTCCCATGTGTTCCTTTGCTAATAAACCCTATTTTGATGGAGTTTTGGCTGTGCCTCGGTGCCTCGTCATCCATTTGCTCGTTCTCCGCCAACTTTATACCTATCAGTATGTTTGTGTGTTTGTGTGTTCTTTCAAATCCTTGAATCCTTTGATCATGTTTATGATTGCTCTTTGATGGTGTTCTTCGATGTTCTGTGTCCTGGGGTTCCTCTGAGTAGTTCTCATTGTAGAACACTTCTATAGGACTGGTGGAGTTTGTCTTCTCAAAATGAACTTCTTTTGTTGGTTGTATGTCTGATAAGAAATTCTAGCTTGCCTTTGTTTGATTGAAGTTTGGTTCTGTTTTATTGTGGTTATACCTTTGCCCCGACCTGCAGGGTGGGAGACAGAGACTCAAACTCCCAGGGACCTGGAATGATGGGACAAGAGACACGAAGAATGACAGCAAGACAAAGAACTCTGATCAAGCTGCAAAAGTTTATTTTAACATGGGGATTCTTATACGGGCTGAAGCAGGAAATTAGCTGGGGAAGGGGAAGGGAAGGTGTTGTCTCAACGGGTTAATGAATGTCCCTCAGGATGAGGGGAACTGGCGCTATGAGTCTGGTTGCAGGATAAGGAAATTGGTGGTTGCTTAAGCTTATCTTGAGTCATCAGAAAGGTTGCTTATCTTAGGGGGCAGGGAGGACTGATCAGCAAGTTCTCTGGAGGCTGCTTGCCCTAGGGGGGCAGGGGGGGCTGCCAGGCAGCGTGGTCTCCCACATACCTTTGTTGCTTTCTGATCAGGTATGTGTAATTAGTTGCTCTGTGCTTCAGGTTCTCACTTTTGATTTTTTATTGGAGGAATGGGATGGTTCCAGGCTGACCCAGTGTGCGAGGTCAGAAACCAGAGTTAGGACAGTGAGTGTGAAGATGGAGGCATGGTGAATTGATTCTAGCTAGCTGCCCAGGCTAGCCTGGAGCTGGAACAGAGCTATCCAGGCCAAGTTCCACAGCCAGAAGATGGCAACTCAGCAGGCAAGTATCTGATATGCTCAGTGGGGTGTTCTGAGCCCACCAACAGTTGGTTCTTGTCAAGGCTAGTTAGGAGCTCTCCAGCAGTGAGAACTGGCCTAGTCCAGGAGCAGGAAGATGGCCAACTTTTTTTATTTAGTTCAAGACCCTAGCTCATGGAATGGTATCATGCATGTTAGTTTTGGGGGCGCAGTATACAGGAACAAAAGGAGAGAAAAGAGGATACCATACCTGACCTCAGACAAGACTGAGTTTATTGAAGTACCTCAGTGAGGGACAGCAGCCTTCCCATATGCTGGAAGGGACTGCTGCCCTGGGGAAGAGGCCATTGGGGCATTTATAGGATATAGCTATGGCTGACTGACTACAGATCAGGGACACTTTTGAGAAGTTTATGACCCCTTTATGACCCCCTTCTTCCTGGCACCATTTGCTCTGGTTTATCTTGAGAGACAGAGGATTTATGATCTTTTCTTGGGACCATTTGTTCAAGGAGACAGGCTGTCTTGGGAAACAGTCCTCCTAGGAAGGAGGGAAGTGGTTGATTGATAATGCATATTCAGGGTGAGTCTTCCCTCCTCAGCTAAACATCTCTGGAAACACACAGAAATACCCAGAGGCAAGTAAAGCCAATAAAGTTGACATTGAAGATTAACTATGGGGGTGGGGTAAAGGCTGTGGAAGGAAATGGGAAGAATAAAAGGAGAAAGAAGGAGGTAGAAGAGCAGGCAAAGATACCTATGCAGAGGAATGACACTGATACCATGTCCTTAGTGGTAGCATAGAGCTCCCAGCCTTTGTTTTACTTCCTATAGCTGTACTCCAGAAAAATAAATTCCCAAATCTCAGTTGGTAGCAATGTAAGGAAGAGGACAGTAGGATACTCTGAATTATGGAATCAGAGTCCCAAGCCTAGGGAGTCACATGAGCTGAGGGGTCTTGAACCCTGCTTCTCATTCCTAGCCCCAAATCCCCGATCACAGTTACAAAGGTTTCAACATTGAAATTATTCTGTCATTAGTATTCTGTAATCTGAGATTGTTAGATAAGAATTTTATCGCTTAGGAAGATTCGTTTTTTTCAGGTGGTGTGGTAGGTTTCTAATATGACCCTGTCTTTCTTCCCAGGTGACCATGCTGTCTTAAGGTTCACCTTGCTCAGAGGTATTGAGTGGATGCAGCCTCAACAGCAGCAGGAAGCAATAACAAATTCAGTCCAAAACTGTAAGTTGGAGCTTCACTGATTGCAAAATGTCCTTGTTTATTTAGAAGGTGGTTCCAAGTCCAAATTGGCACACTCCCTTATTGGCTATGAAGAGACTAAAACCACCCCCAAATGGGGAGTGAATTGTTCAAAGCCATACAGCTTGTAAGTAGTAAAGATGGGTGAGAAGTGGTTCTCTTGACCTCCCTCCAGACTGTTAACAGCTCTTATGTGAATAATCATGTCTTGTTAATTATTTTATAGCTCCTTGAAGGCAGGTGCATAAGCCTTTCTGTCTCTGCCCATTTCAGGCATTGTGTGCATTGTGAGACCACCACAACATAACTTTCTCCTTACAGAGTCCACCTGCTGATTTGAACAGCTTCTCCATCCCATACCTCTGCTTCCTGGAGACCCCAACTACTGAGGTTCTCATTACTGTAATGAATCCCCTGGTCCTTGCTTACCATATTGAGAGCACATTGTATGCTTTTTCTTCTCCATTTTAAACCTCAAGGAGTTAACTCCACTCCCAAGCACCACATCTGCCTTTTTTCCACATGGCCTCTCTCAATAAGCCTTTATTTTCTACCCCAATTATTAGCTTTTGTTTGGGGAAGAAGTTGGGATGCTGCTTTTCTGCTTCTCTCAGGTATAAAAAGTCATTCTAGTGCTCATTTCTTTATATATAAGTCTGAGATGTGTAAGTCTGATCTCCTTATTTTACTTCCCTGGGTCTATGTTACTATCATCATAGCCTATATATCCAGATGAAACATCTCCTGAGAGAAGAAAATAGAGCAGTACCCAAACCAGTTCTCCTGGACATCCCTGGAGCATCCCAGCTTATGTTCACTATGCAATCCTTTCCCTGGAGGGGGTCTCTGGAAGCTCTCCTGAGTGCCCCCCACCCTACCATATCTGCATGGTCTCTGGTGATGGTATCCCTGCCATGAATGTTTTTTTGTTTTAACTTCCTTTTTGTTTTATTTTGAAAATCATGAATAGATGTTGACAATGCAAATGTTACTGCAGATCATTTCCCTCTTGATTTCTGAATTTGCTAGAAAACTATGTGCCAGCAAATTTCCGTTAACGTTTCTCTAGTTTTATGACCCTTTTTGGATATAATGTAAATTGATAGATAAAGTAGCCTATGGATGAATCCAGTTGATGAGGAGAAAGCACCAAGACACAGATAAAACTCCATCGAAATAGAGTTTATTGGCAAATGAACACATGGGATAGATTCCCTTCCAGGCAGGGAAAATGTCTGCCCGGGTCATGAGCTGGGGTCTTTTTAAAAACTGGGGTGGGGGGGGGATGCAGAAGGCAGGAAGATATAAATTTTTTTAAGTTGGGTGGAGGGGGGGAGGGGGAGAGAGGGACTGTTAAAACCTGCCCCCTTTAGAGATCAAAGGGGAAGCCTACTGTGTTGGCCAAACAGTGGAGAAAAGTCTGCTTTTCTTGACTTCAAAGACCATGGTGCTTATCAACTTGGTTCCCTTTTCTCAGGGGCTTACGAGGTCTGTGAAGCCCTGTTGGTGAGGGGTCGGGCCTATCTGAACCTTAACATTGTCCTTTGGGTATCTACTCAAGAGTGGGTCATACGATAATACTAGTTTCAGTTTTTTATGAACCCTCCATACTGATTTCCATGGTGGCTGAAACCCTCAACAGTGCAGATATTTTCAAAATTGAACAGCAAAATAAAACTAGTGCTCTAACCAAATAGTAAGATACCAAAGAATCCTCCAGTCACAAGTTAGTATATTAAACTTCAGGACATGTACAGTATTATCAGATTTAAAGAGTATTGTTTTTGTTTTTTTTTTAATTTAGAATGTAAAAGCTTTATTTAGCCCATTGGTTTTCCACATTTGAAAGACTAGATTTGTAGCACACAAAGGAAAGAGCAGCACACAACACATCAAGTGTCACGTGACCACGACCTATACCTTCACCTGGTGGCTGCCCTTCAAAAGCAAAGAGGGAAAACGAACACTTATAAAAAGCAATTAAAGGGGGCTGGAGGTACTGCACACATGTGGTACACTTTACATATATGCAGGTAAAACGTTTATACACATAAAATATTTTTTACACATTTTACTTACTATTTTTATTTTATGTGTATGAGTATATTGCCTGCATGTGTGTAAGTGCACCCATGTTGTGCAATGCCCATGGAGGTCAGAAGAGGGCATCTGGAACTGAAATTAAGGATGGTTGTTAATGCCATGTGGGTGCTGGGAATCCAACCCAGGTCTTCTGCATGAGCAGCCAGTGCTGTTAACTGCTGAGCCATCTCTCCAGTCCCATAAAATATTTTTTTAAAGCAGCAATCACGGGCTGGAGAGATGGCTCAGCGGTTAAGAACACTGGCTGTTCTTGCAGAAGACCTGGGTTTGAATCCCAGCACCCACATGGCAGCTGACAACTGTCCATAATTGCAGATCCAGGGGATCAGACAGCCTCTTCTGTCCTCTGTGGACATTGCACAACATAGGTACACTTACCGACATGCAGGCAATACATGCATACACATAAAATAAAAATAATAAATAATTTTTTTTAAAAAAAGGAGCAATCACAATGACTTACAATTCACAGTTTAGAAATACCAGTTTCTAACTCATTTCCATATATTGCAAAATGAGTTTAGGAAAAAAATTTAACATACAATTGTTTTACAAAAACAGAACTTGTTTGTATTTTTACAAAACTACATAGAATTGAACACCATTTACCCATTGAAGGTCATTTCATAATGAAATACACAGTACTTCCACAGACATGAAGTCCAGTGGAGCCTTCTTCCTTCACCATCCTCACACATCACTGCTTCCAAATCTTCAAGCCTCAGTAGATTCATGTTCTCTTATAGCATTTTTAAAGATTGTTTGTTTCCAAGAGTTTTATGAGAAAAATTTTTCATTCTAGGAATAATGTAAAAGCAAATGAATTTATAACTAAAAATGTCTTACAAAAAAGTAGAAGCTAATACAATGGGCCATTTCTATACTAGTAACAAATTTCAAACCAATTAATTTAAAACATGCATGTGACCATTGTAATTTTGTACCTATAAGATATTAAAATATAATCATAACTAATTTATGAAAAAGATGTATTCATCTAGAATGAAAATACCTCCAAATTTGGTTCTTGGTAGCTATGTCATAAGAAACATTCCTAATGACGCCCATTCATAAACTCTCATTTTATCACTTCCAAGAGTACCAGTATATTTTTTTCAAAACAACCGAAAAATAAGAAGATAGGGGCTTATAGTTCATGTTACAATGCTATTAGAACAAGGCAACACTTGGTATTCAGAAAAGCAAAACAATATATTTCCAAACCGTGTTTTGTGACTGGTATCTTAACCATTACATAGAATGGTTAGAAAATGCTAATGTTAACAAAGAATCACATCATTCTCTTTTTTCCATCAATCTATGCTTTTAGTTTGTCTACATAACACAACAAAAAATGCAGTACACGATATGTTAAATGAAAAGCTTTTTCCATATTACAAGCAAATAATCTAGAAATAAACAAGAATGAGAAACCAAAACGTCATCTGATTGTTCACAACAGTTGCTCCCTGTAAGAGCTCAGCAGAAGGCAAGGGGGCCCTTCTTTCTATGGAACATAGAGTGTGCCATGCACCATTAATCGTTAGCAGAGGGGTGAAAGCCATCTACAGCTTTGCCCCTTACAGATATGGGCTATATATTCTGTAGGGCAGAGTCCATGTCCTATTTTTCTTTGTACCTCTAGTACCTAACACAGTGACATACTAATAGTTTCCCCATAGCTATATATTAAATACATGAGTACATGAACTGTGTTCACTACTGGGAACATAGCAGAGAAAATAAATCATCAAGTTATGTCTCTGCTGACCTTAGATGGTGCCATTATCAGAAAATCAAATCAATAATTGATTACAGCAAAGACAAAAAAGCAAGTAATATTTTCTTTGAGGGTATTCTTTTAATACTTCAATAATTATCGGTGCTTTAAAAACTTTTCATTTTTTTAGGAAGTTCATATAGCCCACTCTGACTAACAAGTGACCAAAAGAGACAGAGAAAAGAAAGGCAAGAGAGGCTGGAAGCTCTGTCTCTACCATCCAAAAAGCCTTTTCAGATGCATGTGTCATAGATATATGAGACATATGAAGACATCTGTCCCTCATTTTGAGTGTTGTCGACGGATCCAGATGTTGCCTCAGAAGAGGGAGTGGCCCATGTGTGCAGCACCTTGGGGTGCCAGCCCTAACCCCTACACAGCAATCAGTACTGCAGGTCATTAGCCAGAATAAAGGATGTGCCTCTTTACCATTGTGAAGCTTGTCATCCTTTTTTTTTTCCTTTGGTCTTTTTGAGACAGGGTCTCCCTGTAACCCCAGCTGGCCTGGAACTCATTATGTAGACCAGGCTGGCCTTGAATTCACAGAGATCTGCCTGCCTCTGCCTCCAAGGCGTGTGCCACCAAGCCCAGCTTTGTCATCTTCTCTTAAAGAAAAGGGTGTGGGGAAAGCAATATGCTTCTTCCTAGAGGGTTCCCACGGTCATTTTGAAGTCAAGAGATTAGTGGACATAACATTTCCCATCCTGGATCAAAACCACAGACTAGCCACTCCCACTGGTTAGCTTTGGCACATGGGCCCATACCTGAAGAGTCCAGAGTAAGAGTCTGCAGCCACTCCTTCAGAGCTCAAGATTTTCCAGAAGGTTGGATGACTTAAAATCCTGTCTCTGCCCTGAGTATCTGTGATTGTCAGTATATTACTTACCTTCACTAAGACTCAAGACTCTTGTGTATAAAACAAAGCTGACGACAGTTACTTAATGGGACTGAAGCTGTTTGAGGAATAACTTGAGATAATGTCTGTCAAATGCACAGTGCAAAGCCAGGTACAAAGTTGAGGTTTGGGAACATTAGTTGCTGCTATTTCGCTTTAGTGAAGTTTTTTCATTGCTATGATGAATACCCGAGGAAAATAAAGGAGGAACGATTTATTTAGGCTCATATTTTCGAGGTTTAAGACCCTTGGCCCCATTGCTATGGGCCTCTAGTGAGGCCGAAATATGGCAGTCAGAGAATGTGGCAGAGGAGGCTCACCTCATGGCAGTGGGGAAGCAGACAGAATGAAGGACCAGGACACGAGCCATTTTTCCAGGGCATGCCTCCAACACTTCAACTAAGTCCACCTCCCACTTTCCATCACCTCCGAATAATGCCATACTATAACTTCACC